AGGCTGCAGGCCAGCTTTGTTCATCTCCTTTGCTTTCCCCTTTGCAATTTGCCCCTGGGTTATACATGTTCTGCTTGATTATTCAGATTCTCACCCTCCATTTTTGAGACACAAGTGATAAAAGAAAATTTCTCTTTAGGATCAATTAGAGACATCTTAAAGAAAGAACATATTTAAAAGGTGATCAGCATAATGGCCAAGAGCCAGGATTCCAGAGCCAGAGTTCAAATCCAAGCTGAGTGAACACAGACAAGTCATATGATCTCTGTGCCTTGGTTTCCCCATTTGTCAGTGAGGCTGATGACCACCATAGCATCTCTTTGGGTTCTCAGAATGAGTCAGTGAGATAATGATATACCCAGAATAACATCTGGGCCAGATCTATGGGTTCCATATCCACAGACTCAACCAACCTTGGGATAAAAATATTTGTATAGGCCAGGCCGTGGTGGCTCATGCCTTTAATCCCATCACTCAGGAGGCAGATGCAGGTAGATCTTTGTGAGTTGAGTCTAGCCTAGTCTACAGAGTGAGCTCCAGGACACCAGAGCTACACGGAGAAGCCCTGTCTTGAAAAACCAAAAGAAAAAACATATTTGTGTGTCTGTATGCATGTGGTGTGTACATACATGTTCAAATGGGTGTGTGCATGTAGAAGCTGGAGGAGAGTGTTGGGTGACATCATCTAAATTGTCCACCTCATTTTTTGAGCCAGGGTCTTACTGAACCTGAAGCTCACTGATTTGCCTAGACTGGTTAGCCAATGAGCTCCAGGGATCTGCCTGTCCCTGCCTTTCCTCCCCCAGCACTGAGGTTACAGATGTGCATCACTACACCTGGCTTTTTGTTGGGTACTGAGAATGTGAACTCAGATCCTCATGCTTGCACAAAGGCAATTTCCCTATTGAGCTATCTCCTAGCTCATCAAAAGTACTTTTGAAATTAAAGCTACACTCAACATTGATACACAAACCTGTTTTCCATTCACTAAGCAATGCAGGACAACAACTTCACCTAGCATTTATATTGAATTAGCTAATTAGTTCTTTTTTGTTGCTCTGATAAAATACCCCAACAAAAGCCACATGATGAAGAGGGGGTTTATGTGGGCTCACAGTTCCAGGATGTAATCCATCATGGTTGGGATGTTCCGTCACAGGAGCTCAAGCTCACCAGTTACAGTGCAGCCACAGTAAGGCAGCAAAGAATACCAGCATTCAGTTAGCTTTCTCCTTTTTATTCAGTCCAGACCCAAGCCTAGGGAGTGGTGCTGCCCATATTTGAGGTCTGTCTTTCCACCTCAACTAACCCAATCATGATAATCCCTGACAGACATGCCCAGAGATTTGTCTCTAAGACAATATTAACACAGGCATCCTAACTCATCAAGAGATGATTTAAAGCTTACAGGAGCCTTTACATGGGTTATGTTTCCTGGGTAACAGTATCTGTTCTCTTTAGTATAAGGGACTTACACATCCATGGATTTTTGCACTGGGGTATGAGTGTGGAGATGTGGAACCAACTCCTGCCCCAGCACACAGATCTATGGCTGTGTGGTAAGTGTGGTAGTTCCTTATCCTGAAGATGCCACAAAAAATGCTTAATTTGCTTTATGAATGCAATTCTAGTGACTAGAGTCCTTTGTGGTACAGAAGGCACCTCTGGTTTCACTGGAGGAATTTTAAGATGGTGGATTTTAAGAAGGCAAGAAATCTGCATGAGTCAAAAACCTGAAAAAAAGACTATGGCTAAAAAGGGAGACCAATCTCCAAAACATGAAATTCTCATTGGACAATCACAGATTCACCAAGGAAACAGGTCTGGCTCCCTCCTCTCCCCCATTTCCTTCAAATTCTGTCCCAGTAAATACTGGATTTGTCTTTTTCCTTTTTCCCATTCCTGTAACACCCACTCCCATTCAGGCTACCTTTGTTTTCCCACTGAGCCATGGCATCAGTGCCCTCTCATGCCCACTTTGGCCCCCTTCAGTATACCAGTGTATTTTCCACTCTCCACTTGGTAGCCAGAAGTACAAACACAGACCAGTGAGATGGCTCAGTAGGCAATTGTACTTGCCACCAAGTATGATGACCTGAGTCCTGTCTGTGTGTCCCACATGACAGAATAACAGAAACAACCCCCACAAGGTGCTCCCTCCCTCCCTCCCTCCCTGCCTCCCTCCCTCTCTCTCTCCCTCTCTCCCTCTCTCTCTCTCTCTCTCTCTCTCTCTCTCCTTTTTTTGAAACAGGGTTTCTCTGCATAGCTGACTGTCCTGAAATTTGCTCTGTAGAACAGGCTGGCCTCAAACTCAGCGATCCACCTGTCTCTGCCTCCAGAGTGCTGGGATCGTAGTCACCATAACCTTAAAACTACTGGGGTGGGGGCTCTCTGCACTTCCAGGATAAAGTAAAAGCCTTAGCAGCTCACCAGACCTTTCAGAGTCTGGGCCATGCTTGTCTCTCCGCCCCAGCAAGCCCCATCTTTCTCTTTTTGCTCCGGCATAACGATGAAACATCCCCAGGCCTGAGGGCCTCTGCAAGTAGTGTTCTTTTTCTGCAACTTGTTTTCTCCTTCCTTCTCCCAATTAAAAATTTAGTAGACTTCATTTTTTTTTTTACATCAGTTTTCAGGTTCACAACAAAAGATGTTGGGGGGGGGGGCAAAGAGTGTGTGTACATCTTCTCGCTCATTCCCATATGCAGCTTCTACCTCCACCACCAATGTGAGACACTGCAGTTAGTTACAATCAGTGAGCCCACATTAACACAGTTACTACCTAAACACCACAGTTGAATTTATATCAGTGCTGGCTGTGTTTACATTCTGTGGGTTTAAACAACTAGGGTATGGCAGGCACTCTAGGGTGGTGCTTCTCAACTGTCCTAATGCTGTGGCCTTTAATAAATACAGTTCTTCATTTTATAATGGCCCCCAACCATAACATCATTTTATTTTTGTTGCTACTTCATAACTGTAATTTTTCTACTGTTATAAATTATAATGTAAATATCTGTGTTTTCCAATAGTCTTAGGCAACCCCTATGATAGGATCATTTGACCCAAAGGGGGGTTGTGACCTACAGGTTGAGAACCACTGTCCTATAGCATCATACAGAATCTTTCACTGTCCTAAAAGTTCCTTGTTCTCCACATGTACCCTTCTCCTCAGACCCTTGATGAGTACTGATCTTTTTACTACCTCCATAGTTTTGCCTTTTCTAGAACATTCTATTTTCCCTTCCTTTTTAAATATAATTGATTTGTTTTTATTTTATGTGCATTGGTGTTTTGCCTGCATGCATGTCTGTGTGAGGGTGTCAGATTTTGGGATTGTTGTAAGATGCCATGTGAGTGCTTCGAATCAAACCTGGGTCCTCTGAAAAAGCAGTCAGTGCGATTAACTGCTGAGCCACCTCTCCACCCCATTCTAGAGCACTCTATCATCGGAATAATATACTATATAGTTTTCCAGATTGGCCTCTTTTCACTTAGTAATATGCTTCTAAGATTTCCTTCCTGTCTCTATGGCGTGGTAACTCATTTCTTTGTCATCTGAATAATAGTTCATTGCAGGAATGCATCTGTTTATCCTTTGTCCTGTTAAAGGACTTCTCGGATGCGTTTAGGTCTTGACTGTTATAAACACAGCTGCTATAAACATCTGCGTGTAGATTTTTGTACAGATGTAACTTTTCAACTCCCTTGAGCAAAACTAAGGAGCAAGCCTGCTAGGTCATTTGGCAAGAGTGTGTTTGCTTTTGTAAGAGACCACCAAACTGTCTCTCTCAGGGACTGTGCCAGTTTTCATTCTCACCCACAGAAAGTCAGACTCTCGCCGCTGCACTCTTCTCGGGCATGTTGGTGCTGTTCCTGTTTTGCGTTTTAGCCATTCTACTTTCTGTATAACATTATGAGTTTTGTGCATCTAAAAATAGAACCTTGCATTCTAGTCAAGTTCTCTCATCACTGAGCTACACCTCCAACGCCACCGTTATTGTTTTAATTAGCAATTTCCTAAGGATTACACAAACACCTTTTCATACTTACTGTCCTCCGTTCATATTCTGTTCAGATCACTTGTGCCTTCCCCCACCCTCCGTTTGTTTGTTTGTTTGTTTGTTTGGGGATAGGGTTTCTCTGTGTAGCGCTGGCTGCCCTGGAACTCACTCTGTAAACCAGACTGGCCTCAAACTTAGAGGTCCACCTGCTTCTGCCTCCTGGAATTAAAAGTATGTGCCCCCACCGCCTGGTTCCTTTGCCCATTTGTTAACTGGGTTGTTTTCTCTCCCTTTCTGTCTTCAGTAAATGCCCCATTCATCTCTTAGATCCCAGTTATCTTTGCCTCCATCTTTAACTTGATTGAAGGAAATAAAGCTTTTCTATGAGCTCTTAGAGTGGTAAGTGTCTGCACAGGTCTGGAACTGCGATCTCATACATATTCACATAATGACTTGAATGATATCTGTTTTTCTTGTGTTTGTAAGAGCAGGCAGCACATGTGGCCTTGTTCCCTGGACTAATGCCGCCGGTGCTGGCCCTAACACATAGCAGAAACTCCATTAATAGCAGGAAGGTGCCTAATGCCCTCACCCAGGAAGAAGATGGGACTGGGGGAGAGAGGTCCTCTTGCAGAGTACTCCTCCAGGACAGTACAGGGAGAGCACAGGATTTCAAAGATAACTTACAGCAGTGGGAGGGGCAGAGGGCCAAAAGTGATTCCCAAAGCAGCACCAAACCCACCAGACTGGTGTCAGGAATACTAATGTGCAAGCTGAGCTGAGACAAACAAATGATAGAAGAGCTTTTTTAGGAAATTATTTGAGGCAGGAAAACAGACAGGGCAAGCCAGGCCCCACATGTACTAGAGGAGGCAGCATCTTAAATGCACTGGGTTGTTCTTCCTCAAGAGGAGTAATTCTCCAACCGGAAAGCAGTAAAGGCAATTCCAGAGGGAGGACGTCAGGCTGGAGGTCACACTGATTATGCTCTGGCTTCAGATGAATCTCATTAGAACTTGGGAACAGGACTGCAGAGCCATCATCCGCAATTTCTGAGAAACTTGGGCAAGAAGCCCAATATCCAGGATGTGTGAAATGTTTGTCAGCTTTCAAAAAGCAAGAATGTGCAAATGGAGTAAGTCTAATGACCTCAGACTTCCAAACTTGAAATTAATTAATGCTATGAATCTGGATTAGATTTTCAACAGTGCCTAGAAAGTGGAATTTAAAAAATTTTCTGCCTCACTACACTTCCATTTGAAACTTGCCAGCAAGCAAGATGAAGACAGCCTGTCTTCTTGGAGAACAATTGAGTAACCTGTCTTCTTCAGCCCCAGGAACATGGGTAACTGCACCACTACCCCAAGGGTGAAACTTGGCATTTCCTCCTAATGTGTAGCTTGATGGAAGCTGCTCTTTGTATTTCTTGGTGTGAAGGGCTGATTGCTGGAAGCAACTGAGCACAATTGCACAGAGGTAAGGAGCCTTCTGGTGGAGAAGAATCAGAACGAATTTTCATGTAGCATGAGTATCATCACATCTCTCATGGATTGAGGTGGACATACCTGAATCATGCATGGCTTTCACAAGAAACCACCACGAGTTCTCTCTTGCTATGAGAGTTTGGGGACAAAAAGCCCCACTTCAGGAATCCCAATGGAGCCACTTGTCCTGATATACCAATTAAAGATGAGTGATGGTGACAAAGAGACATTCATCAATGTGTGCATTGGGAAGAGGAATAGACTGCAGGCTTAAGACAATGACTGGAGCACAGTTTGGACTACTGAAGTGGGAATATTGTAAAAAGCTAACAATAATGACTAAAGGATGAATATACAAATGAAAACAGAGATGCTAAGATCTGACCCTGTTTTCAATGGGCCCAAGTAAGGAATCAGTGTGTGTGTGTGTGTGTGTGTGTGTGTGTGTGTGTGTGTGTGTGTGTGTGTGTGTATTCTTATTTTACATATCGATCCCAGTTCCCTCTCCCTTCCTCCCTCCCATGACCCCTAACCACCCCCCTCCCACTGCACAGGGAGGGATCTTCAAAATCTGTCATTTGGAGTAGGGTCTAGGCCCTCCTCCCTACATCTAGGCTAAGGGAGTATCCCTCAATGGGGAATGTGCTCCCAAAGTCTTTTTGTGCACCAGGGATACATCCTGTTTCCCCTGTCAGAGGTCTCTTAGACTGCCCAGGCCTTCTAACTGAGACCCATGATCAGGGGGTCTGAGTCAGTATAATGCTGATTTCCCAGTTATCAGTCTCCCCCTTATTCAGGTCAGCTGTCTCTGTGGGTTTCTGTAGCATAGTCTTGACCCCTTTTCTTATCACTCCTCCCTGTCTGCAACTGGATTCCAGGACTTCAGCTCAGTGTTTAGCTGTGGATGTCTGCTTCTGTTTCCATCAGCTACTAGATGAGGGCTCTATGATGGCATGTAAGTTAGTTATTAATCTCATTATCTGGGAATGGCACATAAGGTAGCCTTTCCACTGTTTCTCAGAATGTTAGTTGGGGTCACCCTTGTAGGTCTCTGGACATTTCTCTAGGGTCAGTTTTCTCTTCGAACCTATAATGACTCCCTCTAACAAAGTGTCTAAATACCTATTGTACTCCTAAGGGAGAAGCCAGGCAGCTGGGAGGAAGACATGGTAAAGGGTGGCTTGATTGTTCCCTTGCTTGTGTGACTAAGGCTGAAATATCCTCCCAGCCCATCTGCTCCAGGAGCCCAAGAAAGCGTGCAATATTCTTGTCTCAGACTGACACAGGAGACACTAACTTCAGCCCTTTGAGGGTTCTGGAGTATTAGAAAGCTAGATGAAGTCTTCAGATTTAAACAGCAACACAGCTGGCAGCAACAGGGCGGAAGGAGTTAACTATACAAGCAAACCCAAGTAGAGGGAAGGGCTAGTGAGATCTCTTAAGGCCAATGCAACTGCTACCCTTTGTAAGAAGAGGAAACATGAAGGCATGAAGAGAAAGACCTGCTAGACAGAGACAGAGACCATTGGGAGAGGCCTGCAGGCCAAGAGATGCCAAGGGCTGCCAGATGCCCAGGAGCAAGGCAAAGGTTGGGCAGATCATGCTTGAAGCCTCCAGAAGGAAGTGACCTCTTACACCCTAGTTTCCAGAACTTCAGGAGAATATGCTCATGGTTTTGTTTTTCAATCAAGTCTGTGATATTTTGTAAAGCAGCCCAAACAACTATTCAATTTGAGCATGTGTGGGTTAAAGAGACTAATCTGGAAAACAAATTATATGACTGGTTAGGATCACTACACAGATATCTTACTTCTTATGATGAGTCAGGAAAATGCTAAGCTGATGGCATCTTACTATATTTCGGGGGCTCAGCTTAAACATGTGACTTTGCCTGCTGGCCTGGAGAGCTGCATGGCTCTGTCCTTCACACTAATCTGAATTAGGCATTGAGCATGTTTTGGTTTTGTTTGTTTGTTTGTTTGTTTGTTTTTGTTTTTGTGTTTCTTGGGTTTTGTTTTGTTTTGTTTTACAAATGTACAAATAACATCAAATAGCCAGAGACAACAACTAGTTTGTTAAGAATCAACTTCCACATTCAAGGCCATCAGGACAACTGGCATGATGAACCAGAAGCCCAAAAATAAAATATTAGGGAGAATAATGTAAAGTTAAAACTTCAGATGTAAATAAACAAAGACAAATCAAAACAAAACCATTGTAAGAAAATGAACTGGAGGACTTGGCTTGAGAACAACTTGTGGGGAAAGGTTGGGAGTTTTGTAGCCGATACTAACTCAAATACGTTGTGGTGACTCAAAAAGGTAACCAAAACAACTGTTGACAGAGATATGCTAGCAACACCAGCTCTCTAAACGAGTTTCTCACCATAGAAAGAATGATCATGATTCAGGCCACAAAAGTATTTAATGAGAAGATCATATGATGAGTACTAATTGATATGCAGGAGAGATGCAGAATGTACTGTGACAGGTTTCCGGGAAAATGCCTAACTCATATTAAATATGGAATGCGGAGTCTCGAGTTTCCAAACCATT